ATTCAAGGCGATAGGGGTGTGTGTGTGTGCGTGCGTGCGCGTGTGTGTGTGTGTGGGTGTGGGCGAGCCTCCCATTTTTTTTTGGGCAGAGCCAGAATTCACCTCTTTGAGCCTTTCAGAGACGAGGTAAACCCCATTGAAGCTCAGTGGTTTTTCTACAATTAGTACTTCGTGGCTCATCCCACTTAGTAATGGGGTTATAACCTCAGTTATAAACGGGATAAGCAGGGTTAATCCACTTATAACTGGGGTTATAACCCACTTACTAAGTGGGATGAACCACCAAGTAAAAGTATACAAGTTTTCCATGAAGCCCACCAAGCATCAGTCAAGGTTTTTCAGGGAAACATGTCAACAGATTGCATCACATATCTGGTAATATCTGGTAATCAATCAAACATGGCTGGGAAAACCCCAAACCGGAGGTGTATAGCTTAGCTGGTTGGTGGTATACCTACCCCTCTGAAAAATATATAAAAATATGAGTTTGTCACTTGGGATTATGACATTCCCAATCTATAGAAAGTCATAAAATTCCATGGTTCCAAACCACCAACCAGTTAGATAACATCCCTGAACTGGAGGATTCTCCAGCCATGATTGATGACACCAGAGGCCATCCCATCCCCATCTCTGGACACCAAGTGGCCGAAATCCAGCAATGGCGCACCGTAGGGACGTCGTCGACTCATCTGCAACCTCGGGGCCACGGGGTTTATTTTGGCCCGCCAAGAAATACCATGGAGTTCGTGCGTATCAATGAAGATCAGCAATTTATGTACCCTCTGGTAAACTAACATAACTATGGAAAATCACAATTTTTAATGGGAAAACTCACTATAAATGGCCATTTTCAATAGCTATGTTAAATTACCAGAGGGTATATAATTGCCATCCGGTAATCAAAGGTGGCCATGACAAAATCCGCTATCAAAAGGTGTTGATGGGAAAAACATCTCTAGATGATGGATTTTCCAGCAAGCCATGTTTGATTACCAGAAGGTATGACAAGGTAGGACCTCCACAATCCTTACATATTCTCACTCTATGATGGCTTGGCCATGCGCGATCATTGACCATCTGGTGGATTCAGCTACCAGAAAGGTAGTCGTATTTGGTTGGAAAAGGGACCGAGTTCGCAAATATCTTGGATGCCTGGAAAGCGCAGGCATGTAATTTGCGGATTGAGCCTGCTCAATCTAAGTCCAGCAACATTATACGTGTTGCGGCTAAAATGTTGGTTATGGCTTAGGTTTATTCACTTATTCCTTATCCGCCTGGATGTGAATGTGCCAACTCCCGGTCTGATGGAGAATATATGTGCATATATGATATGTATATATATATATGTATATATAATATGTACATATAATATGTATATATATATATATACATACTATAATATGTATATATATAGATTATGTATATATATAGTTATCTATTTATATTATATATGTGTGTGTTGGAGACGCTGAGTTTCCATGCTTTGCAGCTCATTTGCATCACAATCATTGGATTGGTTTCAGGGAAATCTCAAGGGAACCTCCTCTCCATGATGGTTATCCGCCATGGTTTCCTGGTGATCACCTGGGATAACTGAGCCAGGAAACAAGAAGGGGATGCACAGCATTAACATTGTCAGCGCCAACCTTTTGGCAACGAGGACTTGGAAATTTGGCAACGGGGGGTTGCAAGGAACCTCTATGTACAAAATGCATATCCAACACACATATAATACATATATACATATGTAGTATCACTAGATAGGTATGTATGTATATATATATACATACAATCACATACAATCACATACAATCACATACAATCACATACAATCACATACAATCACATACAATCACATACAATCACATACAATCACATACAATTACATACATAATTCATCGTACATCTATACTATATATATAATTATACACAACTGTACCAAGTTCTCATGTGCTAATTTGTGGGTTTGTCACTTTGCATTTCTGGTTCGCACGACCGGTCGTGTCTACCCTGGTCCCATTGCAGTGTCGACTGTCAGGTCCCGTTGCCGGTCCCACAACACCCATGTCCTTGCTTTGGCCAGTGCTCTGGTCAGTTTTCAATAATATGTATATATATAGTATATAATATATATATATAATATATATAATATATATATAATATATAATATAATATATATATATTATAATAATATATATATAATATATATAATAATAAAATGCTACTAATTTGTCATTGTAATTTTTAATAGTAGAGGTCGTTCCATGGCTCACACTGAGGATATTTCCTCTTCAAATCTCTTCACAGATTCTCGCTACTTCCTGATTGTGGAATGTGGAATTTGTCAAACCTCTGTAAAAATGGTCATACATTCACCCCAGGTCTACAGGGCAACATCCCCATAGTCTTAACATGTCTCAACTATACAAACATCTCTGGCCAGCTTTCCATAGCTTTCCTTTGTGACTGGAAGCCTTGCAGCCCATATTTTGCTCCATCCCTAGCTCCACCAGGCCCGGACATATCGCAGATCAGGACCCAGGTCAACTTTGACAAGCCCCAAATGTTATCATCAGACCAGAAATTCAGGCAACAATTGTGAGACAAGAGGTCGAGGTATTGATGCTGCATCTGAAGATATCGGCCTGGTACTGCTGAATTACTTGGCTTCTCAGAGCAGCTGCAATGGGAAAAACATGAAAGATCTACCAACCCTTGTCTATGGGGTACAGTGCCTGTTGCAGATCGCGTACAACATCATACAACCCACCAAATGCCATTGGTTATTGATAAAGGCCTATGAATTTTCCCATATATTGCACGGGCTATGAGTCGTCTGGTAAGTGGTTAATTAAAACATATTGAAACCCATCCCCAAAAATCCAAACATGACTGTCAAATTCTACCCTTCCCAAGGACGGAAGTACAAAAACATCGAACTGTTTATTCCTTTGATCTCGTTTTTGCACGGCAAAGCGGCAAAGCTGAAAACATACTTAAATATACCCCAGCTGTTGGTTCACTCCCTATCTTCCAACCAGTTGCCTGAATAATTCGCGGTCCCAAAGCTCATTCGAAGCCATCAAATTGCTGGTTTCACTATGATTCACATGGGTTTTGTCGACAAAACGCGGAAAAAAAACGCACATTTGGTGGTTTATCATCATCTTCCCGCCAAAAAAATGCCATTGGAGGGGCGGCATGTTATTTTTTTTTTCGCAACAGTTCTGGGAGATCTCCCTGCGCTGCAGGATCTCAACCAAGTCTCACATCTGGGCGTGGGCAGTGTGCTATTTGACCAGGTCGCAGCCAGCGATGGTCCCGGTGGTTGTACCCGTGGAAGCGCGGGTTGAACCTGGCAAGTCCGGGCAATGGGTGACCTTCACCCTGAGAACCTCCAAAACAATGGGCTGGTTGGTGGTATACCTACCCCTCTGAAAAATATGAGTTTGTCAGTTGGGATTATGAATTTCCCAATATATGGAAAGTCATAAAATTCCATGGTTCCAAACCACCAACCAGATGTGGATATTTATCATGGATAATTATATTTTTTTTGAAATGAATCCCAAGTGGTCATTCAAGAGATGCTGAGGGAACAATTTTCATTCCAGTGTCCATATATTTTTCTTTTCCCCACTACATCCCACACATTTCACCACAAAATGGTTGGTTTTACACCACCATTCTTGCATGTTGTCATCCTCCATGTTTTTTGCTATATATATATATACATACATACATATATATATATATGTATATATATAATTATATAATGTATATATTTATATAATTATATAATGTATATATATATATTGTATATATGTATATTATATACTTATGTCATGTATGTATATATCTATATGTACACATTGTATTTTATATAATATATATATATATATATATATCATATATTGTATAAATATATGTACATTATATACGTCAAAATGTATGTAAATATTTGTATTTGTATCCATAATATGCAGGGACCCGTCACGCCTGCAAGTATGCAACATATTACATGGATCATAAATGAAAATAGTTTTTGCATGGTTTTGCGTGTTTTTTTCCAGAAAACATCACGCACAAAACCAAAGCGTACTAATCCCTTTAATGTGAAACATCCACCAGGAACTGTGGTTTAGTAGGGGAAGTACACATCCCCCGGGACCATTTGGATTATGATCTGCACGAGCTCGCCCGTTTTCAACGATCTTTCCAACGACAGCGCATCCGCACAAGTCGATACGCAGCACCTCATTGATCAAGTACGAATATAGTGCATGTGAAAACCCATGGCTCCTGTAATTTCGCAAAAAACAATGGAACATTGCCATTATAGTTGATTCACCTATCAAAAATGGTGGATTTTCCAGTTCCATATGTGAAATCACCAGAGGGTACATTGCCCCTCAAAACCCATGGTGATTGACCTTCGCTAGACCCATGGATTCAAATCCTTAGGCCACCCAGGGTGCACCCAAATAGGGTCTTTATCTCAACGAAAAATAGCAGTGGCCACGTGTACACCAGATTACACCAGTATCGAACCTACATGAATGTATCATTGTACATACATTAATATGTATAATATGACACAACTATCAACACAAAACCTGAGCCAAAAGGAATATGTCAGGGTGCTGCGGCAAAAAAATATACCAACCCTAGGAGAGAATCTTGGAATCTCTCTCAATTCGAGAAGGCCAAATCCATCTTGATGGATATCTGGCGTCATTTGCGTCTCGCGACCTCAACCACATCCACCTTTGGCGGATGGGTTGCCAGGCGGTCGTTAGCTGAGGGGGCTGAACCCCAGGCCATTCCATACATTGGCAAGCATCTATACATAAGTTTTTTGAGAATCTAGAATCTAGTATGTCTGAGTCTGTGTTTTAAAAAGCACCACATAGGTTTGTAATCTTATATATACACATATGAATAGAGATACAACATGATGTGTATATATAAATATTATATATATATATGCACATAAAATTCAAAGTACCACTAGGATACCTTAGATATCCTTAGATATCCTTAGATGCACAGTTGCCATAGCGCCTACGATCACCAAACCACAAGCCCAGCTCACATCACTTGGAAAAGCGACTGAAGTGCTGCACTGAATTCTGACATGGCCTGGCCAAAAAAATGCCAGCGACCATGTTGTACCTGGTACCCTCTGGTAATTTGTAACACCCCATGAAAACCCCTAGGTTTAGATTCACCCCATGAAAACCATAGGAAAACCATAGGAAAACCATAGGAAAATGGAGGTTTACCCTCTGGTAAACCTACAAAAAGCTATTGAAAATGACCATAGAAATAGTGGATCTTCCCATGAAACATGGTGATTTTCCATGGTTTTTTGTGGCAGTTTACCAGAGGGTAACTTTCCAGTTATGTACCACAGGGTGAAGGACTTCGTGTGATACTGGATGATTGTCGTTACCGTAGCACAAGTGCTGGCTTTGTCTTGAAACTTGGATAAAAACACCTCTAAATCCATTGGTGAACCAGATAGAAACCATCATTTTTCCTATGATTTTTTAGTAATTCTGCGGGTATATCCCATAATCCATTGGTTAACCCTATCATTTGTCCTGTTTGACACGGTAATTTTGTGGGTATTCCCCGTGTATACCCCATTTTCAGACAGACCCATCTCTGTGGCTTGCCGCCACAGCCCCCTTCCGACCAATCCCAACCTCTGTCTCCGGCAAGGTTGGACGATGAACCTCTTCCATCTCCACCTGGTCATACTCTCGACCAACGAGAGATCAGTCGTCTAGGTCCATCCTATTTGGAAAACCCCTTGGGGAAACCATGTGCATTTCGAAACTGCAAACATGGCAGCCAACTCATTAAAACATGAAGAAAACAGCAGTATCATATAGTACTATTCAAAGGATCTTACAAGGTTTCACAGGTCCCATGTTGTCCCCCTTGATGAAGGTTTGATAGGTCTGTCTTTAATCCAACATTAATCTTTTTTCAGGCCTTCTCTTTGGGGAGGTATTGATCATCGTGTGGTCTGCTGCCATCTTCTGATCATTCAAGTGTCCGATCTCCTATACCAGTGGCTCTACTCGTCTGCAAATTTTGAATATAAACACAATAAAACAATATAATATATATATATATAATATAATATAATATAATATAATATAATATATATATATATATTATTATATATATAATATTATATAAACATATATATATATACCAGGGGCCGCCAAAACCATGAAAAATCAAGGTTGTATCTTAAAACCATGATTTTTCGGGTTATGAATAAATGCAATGCAAAAACCTGGTTTTTGGAGATACCAATTTTAGAAAGATTGACCAGTGGTATGTGTTGTTGTCCCTTTTAGATTTTGTAATTGTACAACATGGTAAGTCAACTTAAAGACAGAACTAATATAATATAATATAATATAATATAATACAATATTAAAAAAAAAAACAATTCAACATGAAGATCCCGACGAACAAAACTGCTGAGGATGTATCAAACTTCCACGGGTCCCACTGCAGTCATGGCATGGTAAACAGCAGCCCGTCGCTACCTGCATATGTCTCGCGTCGTTCCAACCTGTGCATCTGGCTCATGACTGAAATGGAGATGGGTCAGGACCCCTGGTTGAACAGCAACAAATAACTGGCAAACGGATCTTCATTACAAGTAATTACCTCAAAATCAAATATATATATATATATTATATATATATTATATATATTATATATATAGCTGTTGACCCGTGGACTTTTTTACTATCTACCCATCTGTAACTGTATAGTTCCCCTATTTGCAGATGATCATCCCACTTAACTGGTCAATTTCTGCGTTCATTTATCACCTATGGGGTAAGCCCACTAAAATATTTTGGGTTACCCTCTGGTAAACTAACAGTTCGCTATTGAACATGGCCATAGAAATAGTATGAAATAGTTAACCCATTAAAAATTGTAATTTTCCAGTGTTTTTTGTATGTTTACCAGACAGTATCAACCACTTACGAAGCCACCGTAGCTTCGTTCATCGCCGAGTCACACACCGACGCGGCCTTGTAGCACTTCATCCGACGGCGGGGTGCCGTTTGCTTCGGCTTCCTGGGGAAGTGCAGCAGTGAAGAATTGGAGGAGAAAAAAAACATGAGACCTGGGACTAATACGAAATATCTAGTAAAAATAGCTCTCAATCCTCAAGTCAGAGGTTGAACTCGTGATCTAATTATTGGGTTGTTTCGACTTAAAGCTGGAAGTTGGTTATTTCATTTCTATCTCACTGCATTTATGAGTGGGAGCAGGGACCTCTAAAGATCCCTCAAGTGTTTTCCTAGGGGAAACAAATCCAAGTCTGCTTGCCACTACCCTCTGGTAAACTAACATAGCTATTGAAAATGACAATTTTTCATGGGAAAATCCACTATAAATGGTCATTTTCAATAGCTATCTCAAAAATAACTAGAGGGTAATTGATTGGCAAATTACCCATGCATTTCGAGATCCACACAACTTCGACACCATACATTGACATACATCATTTTCTAGACCTTTGAATATGTCGGCCCCAGAGCGGGAAGAAAGAAATCCATTCCAGCCTCCAATGTTTTGTTGGGAAAATCAATCGCAATTCGTGAAGCGTTGCAAACCTTGCACAAGAATAATGATTTTGTTGATTGTATCCATATCAATTGTTTCTTCTTCCCCGCTTACAACAGGAAAATTATACTTGGAAAACCATCCACTGTCTGATTACTCACAAATGCACAAATCAAATTCAGTCCTGGCTAGCTGAGAAACCAGTTACAATTTATGGGATGATAATCACCATACTCTCATGGTCATCCCAGATATTAATGCTTCACGTCCGCATGTCTTTCGTTCCCCCCGAACTCTCTCGGTTTTTGGTGAACATGCTCCCCACTCTGAAAACATCACTGGTTTATTCCGAAGTGGGGCTACCCCACTTACACCTGGATGTCAACTTAGTATAGGTATCAAATATCAAACATAATGTCAACCCTGGATCAACAACCCCCAAACGGCTGTTTAATTAGGGTAGCATTAAAGTATCAAATGAAATCAGTATCTGGGAAGTACTCCCATAATTCATCAAATCACCATGGTAAAAATGAATCCAGGGTTGACATAAAAAGATCCCAACCTACCACCACCATTCCGCCTCGGCGGCAGCTTTACTACGACCTCTTCTCTCAGTGAGGCAGCAACGAGCTGAATGGGCCAGCCCAACTGCTGCGCTTGTGGCAGCCACAGCCGCGGGCCGAAGCATTGGCTGTAACTGGAGGAATGCAAGGCTCAGCCGGGCAACCATCCATGCATATATTCACTGGATTGGTTTAAGGGAAAATCTACAGGAAACCATTGTTTTTACCATCAAATATAGGGCTTTCCGGTTCCAATTTTCCCATCATCCAATTCTATGATATATGGATTTATTACAGGGTAAATTGTAATATTTCACTAACCTGAATTAAGACCGTTTGGGGATAATTCCTCTTACTCATTCCAGTGAGGTCACGACGTGAGGTCACTATGATTTACCCAGATGGATTGAGGATTTTGTTGCACTGTAGAGTGTCTCTTCAATTCACAAAACTAACAATAGGATATGTTTTTTTTGGCCGGTTAGTACTAAACTTCCTAAGTGTTCCGTACATGGTTGTTGAATATGTGCATCAGTATAAACACACACACATATATATATACACATTTACATATAATATAACTACAATTACACATATATGCATACATGTCTAATCAATAAATATCAATAGCGGACAAAAAAAATGTTCATTTTCAAGCCATGCACAAATTAGGGTCGTCCTATCAGTTGTGAGGATTCTGCGTTCTCAGACTTTGGTGCGACTTATGTAAAGCATGGGTATCGGTATAGGGTTGCCCCTATCGGTAATGAAGGTTTTGGACACCCCTCAGCAAAGCCAAGGCGAAGCAAAACTAAACTAGCATTAAAGTATAATGTTGTCGGTTACTCAGATATATATTATCATATATATATATATTATTACATTTAAACAATATATATGTAAATATGTATATATATATATATACACAATTACACATACAATATGTATATATATATACACATTAATTACATTTATATATACAAATATACATATTATTTATATAATACATATACTATCTAACCTTGGGGATAAGGCCATCAAAACACCAATTGTTTTGCTCCCCCACCTCCGACGTGCATAGCTGGCAGCGCGCAGCAGCTCAGACGGCATGGGTGAAGGTGGTAGCTTCTTGGTGATGTTCACGCGCTCCTGGAACCGTGGAACAAATTGAATCTTATAAGATGGGATATAGTTCGATTATGGGATATCTTATTGGGATATACCCTCTGGTAAATAAACATAGACCCTGAAAATCACCAATTTCCAATGGAAACTAGTCTTCCAACCCCCATCTGCCAGGGTCTATGTTAATTTACCAGAGGGTAATGGTTGATGGGGTTATGAAACTACCCTGATGATGTATGATAGATTTAGTGGGAAGATCACCTATGCCTCTAGCCATACTTGGAGGATCATCACACGGATCGTAACCGATAACCACGCTGAGGAAGGCCCTTGATTCATGGGCTTGTCTCAAAATAGAGGAATTATTCTACGATAGGTAAATATATACTTACTATTGGTTAGTAAATAAGTATCAATAAGTATTTCCATGATGATAGGTCTGGGTTAAATCATCTATCCCATGAAATATTGTGAATATTTGAATAGTCATGGTTAGTAAACCAAAAAAGTGGCTCGCTCGTCCCATCCGTAAATGACTGAACTAAAGCCAGCTGATAACCAGTTACGATCGGATGATGATCCTCCAGTTCTTCAAATCAAACTTGCTGCAACATCCTCCAATAGATGTTTTCCAAGCGAACTAAACCTCCTGTCTGACAGGTGATTTATGGTGATTTCATCATATTTTTCTATGTTTTCCGTATTTTCCCATTAAAACCTCCATGTTTGATGACACACCGGAGGGTACCCACCAAAATCATCCTCCCGCATGAAGTGCTTCCAGCTCCGTGTAGCCCATGCCCCGGCCCAGTGCGCGTGAAGCGAGCTGGCCGGACAAATCTCCTGAGAAATGAGGGATGCGCTTCAGCTGGGAAACAAAATGGCCATTGAAATAGTGAGTTTTCCCATGAAAAAATGTGATTTTCGATAGCTACGTTAGTTTACCAGAGGGTATATTCTGGTTGGTGGTTGAGCCCTACCCCTCTGAAAAATGATGGAGTGAAAGTCAGTTGGGATCTTGACATTCCCAATATATGGAAAGTCATAAAAGCCATGTTCCAAACCACCAACCAAATCTAAGTTTGGTCCCTCCAGGATCTAAGTTTGGGATGTGTTTTTTTTTTTATGTTTTTTTGATTCTGTTGGTCCACGATGGGGCCTACAATGGCCTACAATGTTACAACCTTGGCAAGACTCCGGCAAGCAGGGAAAGTTGCAGTAAGAAGATGTAAGAAGTCAACCAAATGCTGGTAGTGATAATGGGTTCTTCATAGTCCCAAGTCCAAAGAAAGTCATGCTGAGCTGAATCATCAGAAGCTTCATGAAGCATCATCGGTTCAGCATGGTTGTCTTGAAGTCAACTGATTCGGAGCGTCAGGAAATGTACTGATCAAATGTTTTTTGGCACAGCTTTCCAGCTTTCCTTGACCATGGTCCCACTGCCGAGATCAAAGGAACTCTCAGTTGGACTCACCTAACCAGACTCACCTGAAAAATGCCATCTGCTTGGTGGTTAAAAAACCATCTTGAAAAATGATGGAGTTCGTCAATGGGTTTCGGATGACAAGCCATATATGACATGGAAAATAATGGACAATAAAATTCATGTTCCAAACCACGATCAGCCATAAAAAGCCATAAGAATCCATAAGATGCCTCAGCCCGGTTGTCCTCCAGCTGCTGGCATACCCAGAAGCAATCACGTGCCTTGTCATTTGGGGATTCCAACAGGTTGCCTGTTGTATCCTGTTGTATCCTGTTGTATGATGCTTCGGGCTTGGGCTTGAAGCAGTTGTTTGTTCTACTTATGTCCACTACCTGAAAATGGGTTCAAGATGGTTCAAGGATGTTCAAGGTATACAGGGGCATGCCCATATTTGAGCTGTGTTTTGGATGGTTCCGGAGCTTCAAAAAACATTGAAAGCATTTGAAAGCAACATTGACCCTCCCCTTTTGCGTTCACTGACGCCAAGCATTCCTCAATGTGTCAATGAGTGAGGTCCAGCCACATGTTTTGCAAGCTTTCGCGCGCCCAAATTGCTGTTGCTTCATGCTATCGACGGATGCAAATGACTCGGATGACTGCTCCAAGTTTGTAGGGACCCCATTGGCCCCAACAGTTCTTCACCCAGGCGCACTGTTGGCATGGGAAGCCACTTCCCTCCACAGCCGCGCAGATTCCATTGCCACGCTCGAGTAGGAGCCGCAGAGCAAGCGCTGCCTGAATCGCTAGGGTCGTTTCAGAGATCGTGAACCCTGGTTAGTAAGTGGGCACATCCCAGAAATAGATGGGTCTATAACGTGTTATAACATGTGAACTTATCCCAGTTGCTAGGCGAAGAACCCTGGCTAGGAAGCCTTCCAGGTGAGTTATCACATGACATACAGTAAGTGGGGCAACAAACCCAAGTCACGAAAATCAAGTAAACGATCCGTGCGATGATGGATCCAGGTTGAGGGGTGGGGTCAATCTCACGGGCATCACATGGCCTACATGGGAGGCGGTGAGCAACATGAACATTCTGTCATGGTATGACACAAGAGCGGCAAACATGAATTGTTGATGATATTAGCACCAAATTTGAAATACCCTCTGGTAATCAAACATGGCAATTGAACATCGTCCTATCTTTAATGGACAAATGATAGAACGAAATGGTGGATTTGGCAGAAAGCCATGACAACTAGAGGCTGCAATTGTGAAGACGCCGCTGTGTCTGAACTTGGGAGATTTCAGCCCAGTTTTGGCCAGTGGAGAAAATCAACATCTAAATTCAATGGAAAAAAAGGGATACCACATTCTCAGCCACAAGCCCATGTTCTGTCCAAAAAGCTACTTATATTATATATATATAGTTTACCAAGATACAAATGGGATCACCCAGTTATAAAACGTTATAAATGGAGATACAGTAAATGGGATAACCCTTCAAGTTGTTGCCAAAAAGATATGTCTTTTAAGAAGCTGCGCAAGCACAATTCACACCTTGAATTCTCAGTGGATCGAGCCAAGAAACAACTGCAAAGAGTACACATCTTCACCTCACTGGCTGCGACTGGTTCCAACTGCTGGATGGATCTGGATGGTAAAAATCCCCCAAATGACCAGTCAGTCAGGGTCAGTCGCGGCCAGTCATCGACATGGAAAATAAGCCTACGTTGTGATGCTTCAAAAAAATGCTAAGCAGGAAGCGATTCTTTTTGGAAATCCGGCTAAAGTGCATGTGTTGGGAAGAACATTGCATCAAAGTTTTATTGGCTGACATGCCTTATTGACCAATGAAAGAAACAAGGATGACTGATCACGAGTTTGGCACCTTCAGGATTTTACAACTTAATCAGAATTTGAGCTAGAGTATGATGGATACAACAGAAACATGAGGGTGAAACTTCATATCAGCAAAAAAAAATGACATCAACCAAGAAGGCCATGAGCTTCCTATTTCTGGGATCGATTATCTCATGATGACCATTTTTTCCAAGGAAAATGAATGAATAAGTGCGGTTTTAAACCATTGGAATCTCAGGCATTTTGGGGAAGCCAAGTGGCGTCCGGGATGCTCAAAGCCTACGGGTTTGGCTTGACCCTGCAGCCGCGCAATGTTGTTCCGAAGCTCCTGGCTACCGCTCCTTTGGTCCGAGTGACTCTTCATTTCACAGGGAATATGGATATATTATATTGATTATCATTATCATATATCATATATCAATATATATATATATATATCATATTATCATATATAATTTGTTTCACTATATCATAATCATGATAATGATAATATATATATATACATTATACATTATCATTATCATGATTAGCATAATCATATTGATGACTATTGTTAATATTGATGTGGGATTCCCCCTTGCTGCCTGGCTGATATGACCAATATGATACAACCATAGCTCCGAACTGCTGCCTCCCAACTGGCAGATAGAATCAGTTGGCGTTTTGTTGGCAAGTAGAAATTGGGGAGTGCGCTGAACCAAATCATTGAACATGTTTTTGAACATGTTATTTCGCGTATTTTTGAATGGGATGTTTTTATTTTTTCGGACCTTGTTTTATCGTCCCGGATACTGGGAGATGGGGATCCAGTGGATGATTCTTGCGCCCTGAAGGTGGTTGCAAGCCTGCTAGAAAATATTAGGCTTATTGGCTAGAAAAATTGGAGATCATCGTCCCATTTTCAGGGAGAAAACAATGGTTTTTCAACCACCAACCTGGTTGAAATGATATGGTTGATATATGTTGATATTAGTTGATATCCCTATTAATTATTCCCATGTATAACAACCCCCAAGGAGATTCCAAAATTCAAACCAAATCTTCAAATACAGTGCCACAATATTGGTAAAATTGCAAACCGTTTTAGGGCTTCCTATGTCGAGGTTTCCGTTTTGTCATGGTGGTACCCCCTTTGTCAAAATCATCCAAGTCATGACAATGAAAAAAATAGTGTAGCTTAACCGCGGTTGACCCTCTGGTAAACCTACAAAAAGCTATTGAACATGGCCAGTTATAGTGGGTTTACCCATTAAAAATGGTGATTTTCCATAGTTTTTTGTATGTTTACCAGAGGGTAACCCATGGTGACTTTGGTATCTGTTGTGCACCTCCTGATGCTTCAGCCGTTCTTCTCTCCTTAGGCACTAGCCACATCACGCGGGGCTCACCGGGTCGAATGACAACCAAGCCGCGGCTCCCCGAGTGGTGGCAGGTCGATCACAATGGATGTAACATGATGTAACATGATCCAACCAAACCAAGCAGCCAGAGGAGAACTTAGGAGAACCAACTACCAGTTTGTTTGGGAGCAAAACAAGGCAATGACGATTTGGGTTTTTGATCCCTGACCCAAATATCCAGGGTCATCACATCGCATTTCATCCTGTTTGCCTCGGCATGCCTGAGAGGCAAAGTAGGTCCTTGGCCATATCGATCCATGTATGGATCACTCTGATCACTCCTTAAATTTTCCTGGTTTTCATCTTTAGCCTCAACATATCAAACATATCGTCAAACCATGTCATGGCAGCCATGGTTCGGCGGCGCTGCGGCATGCGCCAAGTCACTGCTGATCATGCTCCGGAGTCCAACTTTTCTCGAAGAGCGCATCCAGGGAATTGGCCAAGGAAAGATCCTGGAGGACAGTCGGAGTCACTGGGAGTCCCCTTTGGACGTCACGGGACGCTGTGCAGATTTTTCAGGATTTGCCAACATTCGGAACCCCGCAACAATATACAAATAGAATCAAATAGATTCCCAGATTCACCAAGTGGTGGATTTCCATGATGGATTTCCCATTGGGAAAATGACAAAGACATTCTTAGCAAATCAAGGGTCTTCATTATTGATCAGAAAACTTTTGCCCATTTAAGTACAGTAGAATTTGGAGGAGTGCTCAAGTTTTGGATTTAGACCATCCATGACTCTCCTATATATATATGATATGATATGATATGATATGATATGATATGATATGATATGAATTGATATGATATGTCATATGATCCTTTATTAAGTAAACATACGTACGAAACGAGGTTTTGGCGATATGTTCCGCGTTCAAAATTCTTCATCTACCATTGATTTCACCGGGAAAAACCTGGGGCGTTCCTGATCCAATTCCTTCCCACGCTGCTTGATCGACAAAGAGATTTCGTACTCCATCTGTCCTGCACGACACAGCTGAACGTTGTGAACAACAAAAAAAAAGGATTTGGATGGATTAGAAATCACTGGAACCAGGATTTTGGCATATCTGTGTTGTGTGTTGTTTGTCCTCAAACTGAAACCGGATCCTTCCGGTTTTTCTGACAGGGATGAATCAGAAAAATAAGTGACGACTGGGACTGTACCAAGGTACCAAGTCATAAGCGCTGTGATGAGCCCATTTATTTGGTACATGCTAAGCAGGACAGTGGTGATTCCTGCAACAAACTAGCTCAATTCCTATCTCATTGTCTACTTCAAAGCAATGATACATCCGATCTTTGTCAAGGTTTCCATATGGGTATGGGTCAAAATTAGGTACCCCAAAATTATGGATGGTGAATACTAAACTAGACATTCACATCTGTGGTCCCACATCGGTCTTCCATTTTGACCCACATCCATATGTTTCCATCTTTCCACTTTTCAACTTTCGGACTTAATCCCTTCGACCAACGCATGGGACCCATGGGGACCCGTTGCGTCTAAGGCACGGTAGAGGCTGGACCAAGCCTCAATCCTTGGATCAAATTCAGCCGGGGACTCGAAACTGCAAAAAAAATGATGGAAAAATGGACATGACAATGTGTATTATATATATATTATCATTATTATTGTTTATTATTATTATTGTTATCATCATTATTATTAATTATTATTATACATATATACAAACATAACTATGGTTTCTGGTGTTTATATGTATTTAGATCTATAGTATTCATTGGGTGAAACTAAACCTACGAACATCAAAATACCAAAAAAAAACATGGGGGACAATGCCTGGAGGGCCGTCCCATGTCATCAAATATGGAGGTGGAATTTTAGTGGAATTCTCATCCATGGAATCTTCATATCATTAGATTGTACATGAATGATGAGAAATGTCATGACTGATGATATGAATGATGATATGAATGATGATATGAATGATGATATGAATGATGATATGAATGATGATATGAATGATGATATACCATCATTAGATTATATATCATCTAGCAGTCTAGGAGTCGCAGTGGAATTGTCCATATCTTCTAACTCGTTTTCCCATCAAATATATGGGCCCATATGGGCCCCTGTGTCATTCTCTTGATGCTCGCCAAGACATCACATGGACTCGCCACAGCTGAGGATCCACGGGAAGCTCTTGTCCTTGGAAGGCACCTGTTTGGGGTGCAGCATTGCTTTTTATTGGGCCCCTGTTTGGGATGATATACATTGACCCGCCAATGGTTAGGTTCATGGGATGGTTTTTGATTGGCTTACCACATGTGGAATGGTTCATGGTTTGGATAATCTTGGAACTATAATTATCAACCAACATTGAACACTGCTCAACTGTGAAAAAACCACAGTTTCCATGAGTTTTCACATGACCCTTAAGTGAAACTTAGGACTCATACTTCTTGAATCGCGAGACAACACCGCATGTCAGCTCTGGAAATTCAGGATGCGAGTGCTGGATATCGTAACCTTGGCAACCCAAATGGGCCTCAAATTCACGTCAGTTTGAAGTTTGCCAATTTGCATCCGACCTGTTTGTTGGGCAAAACCCTGCAAAACCCATGGATTTCCTGCGGGTTTTCACATGTGGGAGCGGTGGTGCACCCTCTCCTTGCGGCCAACCATTGGCACCTGTGTGAGCCGCTCAATCTGCTGAAGGTACTTGCTGCCATCAGGCACCAAAGCTTCCTCAGCGACTCGGAATTCAGGAATCTCCAAGAAGGAAGGATAATTGGTTGGTTGATGGCTCTATGAAAATGGGATACAACAAGAGATACATTGATTTGTTATTGGCAAATTTGCGCTTTCTGAGGGGCCGTGGATGAGAGGCCCGATTCTGCCTCATACACAACGGGATGACATGAAGTTAATATGGCAATCTTGTAACGGAACATATTCCAACTCATATCACTCATCCATCTGCGAGACCCCTCAGAGATTGGGGCTATGCCAACCGCATGTCGCAGTTGTTGGTTCAATATCCTACCGATTGGAAGAGGTTCCACAGCGACAAGACACTTCGAGGATGCACCGATGGCAAGTGCAATGGAAGTCAAAAGTCGCGCCTCAGCCGGCCAGAATTTCGGCACTTGGGCACCATGGGAATTGGATGGAATTGGGAACCATCCTATAACTTATTAATCCTTATTACACCTTCATTGTGTAGTAGATTTATTCCCAAAAAATTACCCCAGACATCCTATTTTGCAGGGTTTTCGGAGCGGGATCACCCTGATAGCTTGGTCAAAAACCCTGGTCCTAGCTTGCGAGCTTCATACAAGTATGTATTTTCGAAAATGTGGGTACCCCATCCCAACCGTTGCTTTTTCCTGTTGAACATGACCATCTTCACCTTTTTTCATGCCCAAGAAATCCCAAGAAAACTCCGCAGAATTTTGAGGTTTAGTTTTACAAGATATCCGAAAGTGTCTGGCGGTAAAGTCTCCCAGTTGGGCTTTAGATTTCTATAATGGTAGTCTTTTTCTATGGATTCAAATTCAACCCACCCTGAAAATATAAATATGATATACTAAGTTAGGAGTTAGGATCAGTATTCCAAATAATTATCGTTGAAAGACAAACACCTTTGATATTGTTTGACTGTTTTGTGGCTGGGAAACTCTATTCGCTCCAACTGGCTTCCTATTTTCTTATTTTTCCTGGGTGAATATGGATACCCGCAGCTCCTTATAGTTCCCTCCTAACCACCCGATAGTTGAACATGTTTGAAACAGTTTTGAAACCACTAATCAGTGCAAGGTGCCTCCGCCCCAGGCCCCCAGTTACGTTTCTTGGTTTATAAACCCCATGACCGCTCTATCTACCAGAATCATCCAGAAACCATAGAATTTATGAATTCACCTAGCTAGATCTTCACCAACTTAGCTAACAAGCTGGGTCACTACAATGTGGAGCCCCCAAACGTGATGTGAACGTTGGTTTAGATTCGCCCCAGTAACGAATGAATGTTCGTGAAATAGGTACACATAAGTACCACAAACCAGTTCGTGAAATTGGAGTTATGTGAACCCCAACTTAGCAGATTGTTATTCAACATAATTTACCATAATTTACCATCATTAACCATCATTAACCATCATTAACCATAGTAATTAACCATAGTAATTTTCCATCATTAACCATCATTAACCACTTTGTAGTAACCATAGTTATAGAGCCATGGGGATCCACCTGGAGCTCGGCCCAACATCGCCCCTCTCCAGGTCTGGTCGGGCGGCTGAGCTCCTTCCGGCGAAACAGCAAGGGCCGATCCAGGCGAACGTAACCCACCAAGAGCTCGTCCCCAGCCTGACGTTGGGAAATCACGGAAGGGGAAACATCTGTGGTGAAATGATGCAGTAAGATCTGGGAAATCCTCTCTAAACGAATTGTTTCACTATGTTTCGCTACTTGGTGGCTCATCCCACGAATCGTAAGTGGGTTATAACCCCAGTGATTTACATGGGATAAGTAGGGAAAAATCCACTTATAACTGGGGTGAACTAACCCACTTTAACTCGCCGTGGGATGAACCACTCATCTGCTGAGTGTTGTTGATGGGGAAAATGATGACAACAATCGGATAACTGGGGTTACAACAATGGCCCTAGATACAGTACTTGCAAACAACCCCCCGGTAGAAAACATGGCTTCTATATATATATATATATTTATATAATATATATATATATAATATATATATATAATATATATATAATATATATATAGTTATATATATATAGTTATAAATCCTAGCCACGAAAAAGGAGGAACCAACGATAGATTACATGCAGCAAACATGGGGATATTCGTCATACGGAGGAGCTTTGGGATGCCATGAAAATCATGGGGGCCATGATCGATCAAGGACCGTTCATGTTCATGCAAACTTCTAATGTTTTGAAGAACAGCTAAAATAAACACTGGACACATGGACACCAGAATTAATCATAGACACGGAACATGGACAAAAGTTGCATATATATAGATATATATATATACATTGATATATTATATCACGTGACTAGCCAAAATCACATATTCTCCTAGCCAAAAAAGTAATATATAACAGTCATGTATAGTTTCCATGATGTCCTCATGCTGTCATATCAATGTCCTCCTTTCGAAGTTAGCTTTTATATCCCATAGTTATATAATGTATATATATATATATAAGAGACGTATAAAGTATGTTGCGTGAATTATGCCATTATCCCATATTTAACACTATTTAACATGATTTATCCATATTTCAGATCTTTTGATATTCCTATCTTCCCATTACTGGTTTAAACAGAAAGAAACACCTTGGACCGCTTGGACCATACCCCTTTTTCGGTGCGTATCCTTGAGATTCCGCGTGGCGCGACAGGTGAGCACATCCCCAAGGAAAGTGAAATTCACGTTGGGCCTGGCGTGCCGTGCCAGCGATCCGGAGTCGTGAAACGGAAGCAGGTCAAACATGGATGAAAATGGATGAACATGCTGGAAAATGCTTGAAAATCCATCAACATACGGTTGTTTAAAAGCCCATAGCCTCTTCTTAAGTGGATTGTAGTGATGTGATATAAAAACGTATGATATTTCAGCCAAACATGCTGGAGGCAACCTAGGTTGGATGATCAAAGCAACTCAGGTGAGGCTCACTTGCCATGTAGGTGACAACCACTTTTTGAAACCAACATTTAAAACACATCACAGTAGTGAAGTGAGCATTGCTCATTTTACATTGTTACCCTCTGGTAATTTAACATAGCTATTGAAAATCGCCATTTATAGTGAGTTTTCCCATTAAAAATGGTGATTTTCCATAGTTATGTTAGTTTACTCATACCCTATGCCACAAAAACCGCGATTTGCTCCCTGCCTGCAGCTGTGGTTCACGAAGGAAGCCAAACACCATAACCCCGCGGCGTATCCGGTCCCAGTGGTTCCTGGCGTATTTCCGTCACCGTCGTCACCCTTCACAGTGCTGCTGAGTTCCTCGGCAGGCCATGGGCGACAGCAGTCGTGATGACCTTGTGATTTAAACAGTGTTAGAAACAACACTATATATATATATATAACTATATAATGTATATATAGTTATAACACGGGTATATCATGGGTATGTTTTTCGCCTTTTCCACAAGAACATGACCTTTTCATCCCATGACATAATCCCCCGATCCGAAGTTGTCGCAACGTCGCCCAAGTCTCACCATCCAGCAGGGACCATCGAGTGATGGCATTGAAGCGTAAGATCCTGGCGATGCCATGGGAAGAAACCAACGGCGATTTTTCACAAAGAAACCAACGGTGTTTTTTTTCAGGGATAGAATGGGGATACCATGGAAAAACAAAAAAAAATGGGATGTACATGGATGTACCATCTGAATCCATCTGATAGTCAAACTTGGCAATGGACAATCGCCTATAAATGGAAGTTTTAATGGTGAACTCGACTATGAATTGAAAATTGTTATTTTCAGAGGCTACCCCATTCTCTCATGCTGTAACACCGCATTGTGTTCGTTGCGAAACTCTTAGTCCTTGGGAATATGGATATAGCTGGCTGAGAAATCTTACAACCGGATAGTAGTTGCTGGAGAATTTTGCAATGGCAGGGCCAAAACCTCGGTACCCGGTCGCTGTAGTTCTGGAGACTCATCCCTCCAACATGCCTGGTGTGTCATCAGCTTTTTGATATATATATATATCCAATCATCATATATCATCATATATCCCAGTTATCTCATGATTGTGTCCCCATCATTTCAGACTTCTGAAAAATCTAAGATGCAATTTTTGGATTTTAGGAACTCTGAAACCATAATTATCTGGTTGGTGGTTTTAACCATCTTGAAAAATATTAGTCAATGGGAAGGATTATCCCATATATTATCGAAAAATGAAAAATGTTCCAAACCACCAACCACATCAGGCCTATGTAAGGAAATATCATGGAATATCCCCACAAAATATGGCCTTAAATGCTACAGGACCTCAGTTTGAAACCACCAACCAGCATAATTATCCCATTCTTACTGCCTCTACAGCCATGAACCCGGCCCGGCCCCATGAATCTCCGTCCTCTGCAGGCGTTCCTCGTCCAGCTCTGCATGGTCCAGGGGAACGTTGCGGGCAACCTCATGGCATATAGCCATCCCAAAATAGATGCAGAACAGTTAGGACACCTGGAAAAGTGAGATACCGGTATCTTTTTCATAATTAGATTGTCTATGATGTCCTATTTATCATTGATGATCCCAAACATTAAATTGTATTGAAATAGATAAATAGGACATAATAGACCATAATAGACCATCTAATTCTATAGCTTTGTATTGATTACTCATCTATGGACTCATCTATAGACCATCTATAGACCATCATTGATGATCCCATCATATTATACTATAGGTTGGGAATTTTTATACTATATATTTCCCATCATATTTCCCAAAAATCATCTATTTCTCATAACATGATAGTTTTTATACTCATCTATAGACCATCTATAGACCATACTAGACCATCTAATTCTATAGCTTGGTATTGATTACTCATCTATAGACCTTCCTGCAAACATGATGACATATCTTTTTGGGGCTCAAACACTGGTCCCAATGGATCGATCTATCCGTCAAGCATGGCTAGGACCTGGCTAGGAAGGCCTCGAAGCTTTTGTGAAGATACGGTGCATGGAAGAAATCATGTACCTTGGATGGTTGAAACCCCCCAAAAAAAGGGATGTTTACCACCTATCAACTGGTGATTCGGATTTCTTCCATACACCATAATTGATGTATCCACATATAAATGGTGAATTGTCCATTGCCATAATTGATTGCCAGAAGGTAAGCATTCATGTTCCCTATTACACATGGCAATGTTAATCAGGTTTGGCGCTAAGTCATCCAGTTTTGCACACCCATTCTTGTCCCAATGTTATCACCATAAAACCTATGTCCTCATCGCTACGTTGGGTTTTATATCGCATATGAACATCATAATATATGGTTGTGCTAAATATCCCATATACAACCACTATTACAGTGGGATATCAAAGGTTTTATATAATACCGGGTTCTTCAAAAAAAACAGCCATCCACAGGAAACCACAGAGATACCCTGCTTACCCCCGCAACCCCCAACTTCAATGTTGTGATCGGAAGTGCCGAGCATCATCAACAGAGATGGCTGTTTTTTTTGAAGGCCGCCAAACACAAAA